GTTCCCGTCATAAACTGCATTGTTAGACTGTCTGGTGGCCAAAGCCCTAGGCAAACAAAGACACTTCTGTGAGGCAGGAAATTCCAGGGGCCTAAAGATTATCTCCCAGTGGCTAAGGCAAAGGCCAGGCCTCTCTTCAGGTGAGGCTAATTCTTCACTACACAAGTATAGTCATTCCTTTGCCTCTGAGTGCCATACTTACACTCAAATTCAAACTTACGATACCAATAATGACCAAACTTATTTCATCTGCTAGTGTGCCAGAGTCAACTCATACTAACTGACAAAAATGGATTATTAAATATTTAGGAGTTTTGTAAGCTGGTTGTTAAATACAGGTGTTATAAAAACACTTAGTTATATAAACATATGGATTAGATTAAAAACAAAGATAATAAATGTTTAAAACTCATCATGTTGTAAGTATTTTACTATTAATATGCTCTTGATCTTATCTAGGTCTACTGTATCTGGTGAGAGTTATGTAGAATGTTACGCTACTAGGCCTTTCTTCCTATCTCTGTGTTCAGTGACATCATGTTAGTAGCATGAAATTGACCATGGTAAGAATATTTACACCATGAAATTCAGCAAATGCTATGAATCAGGACTTTTTGGATGCATTTTAATTTTGAGAAGCATCTTTTTGTTGATCCAATTGTTACTAGAACTGTTCAGAGTATTTTATAGGTTATGACAACATTAAGATAAATTTCTGAGAAGTTATTTCAAAATACAAATTGTAGTACTTCTAGAGCTAATGATTCTGATGGGGTAATTTTTCTAAAAATTTTAACTCTTCATACAAGTCAGTTGTAAGCCTGAATTTAATGTTAAATGCAAATTGATACATAGCATTTGAGTGTTTTTTCCTTTCTTTCTTTCTTTCTTTTTTTTTTTTTTTTTAAGATTTTATTTATTTATTTGACAGAGAGAGAGACAGTAAAAGAGGGAACACAAGCAGAGGGGAGTGGGAGAGGGTGAAGCAGGTTTCCTGCAGAGCAGAGAGCCGGATATGGGCCTGGATCCCAGGACTCTGGGATCATGACCTGAGGTGAAGGCAGATGCTTAAAAACAGAGCCACCCAGGCACCATTTGAGTGTTTTTTTCCTGACATTTCCTATAAGTTCTGTAGGTTGTACAAGAAAAGTATATGATTAAAGTCTAAAAATAAAAATATATGTAATTAAAATTTTATTCATATGAAAATATTTTTTTCTCTCATATACAGTAATCTTAAAAGGAAATGTCTGTTTCCAAGACTGTGGATATTTGCTTTGCAGTGTTGCAGCAGCTTTCAAAACCAGAGATTCTGAACTCTAGTAAGTACTTGCTATGCTTTATTTTAATGTACATGTGTAGGCTTTTATCTTGTAGTGATTTGCTGACAAAGTTTATTGCCTGAGAGACAGCAAGTACAAGATCACAGATATTGTTTAATTTTTAATTCTGGGCAGGATTCAGAGAGATAAATCCCGGGGATGGGAGTGGAAGCCAGTTTATGTCCATGAGGAGCCCCTCCTCTCTCTGGGGGCGGCTGCTGCCATGGCTGCCACCAGCCTGGGCCAAGCCTGGATGCAGCCAATTCTCACACCACACCTCAGTCTGTCCCATGCTTGTCCTGCCTAGGGCTGACCGGCTTCTTCAAGTGCATATTGCCTGTCCTATCACTGGCGCAGCGGGTTATGGGGTGAGAATGTTTTAATTTTCTTGTTTTTTTTTTTTTTCCTATTTTCCTGTATTCTCCTCAAGAGCGGGTAATAGATAAATAACTAGCTCACGAACATTTATTTTTAACACCAATTATATTATCAGCTCTTTTTCTGAATTTATGACTTTATAACATTGCATTTGTCCCTTTATATAGGGTGTATCTGAACGGGGTGTTTATTAGGCTGAAAAAGCAAAGTGGGCAGTAATTTGAAATTTGTTTTAGTAAAATACCTACTTATCCTTGATTTATTTTTAGTTGTGTCCTAATTCCTTTAAGGACCATGGTACATTTTAATTTACATGAGCGACTTAATCTGTATGACTGTCAGGCACTTCTGTAATAATTTATGTTTTAAATTGCTCTGAGTGGACAAAAGATGTCTTAGAAGGTAGTATTGCTCTAATTTTAAATCCTTTAAAAATTATCAGAGACTAAGCAACAAGAATGAAATCTCATTTCCTTTTGGACCCCTTTATTAGCCAAGATGAGTGCTTTACACCTTAAGAGAGAAGCAGAGGGGCTGATGCACTGGCGTATCAATGTAAACCCACCTCTGACGTCACTGCTTGTACACTGTTTTCCAGGAACACAGAACAAGACTGAGATAGGAGGGGATTAGGCTGCAAAGAACTGCTCAATTTCTAAAAAACATTTACTTACTGCTTCGTGCTTGAGAGGACTTTAGAGGAATCTCAAACTCATCATCCAAACCAAACAGAAGAGAGATGCCACTGAACGTAGAGGAAAACTTAATGAAACTGAGCTCAGAAACCTGGAGTCCCACTTAGAGGTTTCCTTTATCTTTTCCCTTTTATCTCCTCCATTATCTTTTTGGTGTTTGGAGTCAGTTCTCCTCCTTCTACCCTTCTCTCCATTGTCATGGAGAACTCTGATAACTCACTGCATCTAAAAAGGAAAACAACTCAGGTAAGAAGGGGGTGGGCTGGGCTGTTTAAGGATAATTGGAGGGAGAAAAGGTCTCCGTAAAAATCCATTATTAGTCACTCTTTGGAATTAAGACCTTGTCTCAAGGTAAGGATTTTAGGTAAACAATTGATATATTGGCTTATTAAACGTACAATCATTTCAGAAAAGATAATTTCATTATCCTAGCCAGCTGTTAACTTAGAAAGTTAGACTTTTAGGGGTGCCTGGGTGGCTCAGTCGGTTAAGCCTCTGCCTTCGGCTCAGGTCATGATCTCAGGGTTCTGGGATTGAGCCCCAGCCCCACACTGGGCTCTCTGCTCAGCAGGGAGCCTGCCTATTTGTAATCTCTCTCTCTGTCAAATAAATAAATAAAAATGTTAAAAAAAATAGAAAGACTTTTATAGTGTTAACCTTATATACACAACCACACAGGCACACAATTTAGCACATTGTAGCATAGGGTGTTCTCTTAATATATTTCTTTTAAATTGAAATATATTTTTGGGCAGGCAAAGAGGAAAGGCTGTACTGTGTTCTTGGGAAAGAGGGTAGATTCAGGTGTCTGTAGGGTCTGGGTATTAAACCTATCAAGGGTCAACAAGTTTTAACCTAAGGATGAAGACATCCATGCTTGGGTTTCTCAATTTCATTTTACATTCACTAAGTTTCAAGTCACCAAAGTAAAATGGATGAAATGCATCTTGACTTTGGAATATTTGCCTTCATTCACTGCGTTTTCAACTGCTCGGACACATCCTTAAAAACAAAACAAAACAAAAAAAAACAAACCAAAAAACTGGTGTGGTAGAGTCACGCAAATGCTCAGTTACTATAAGAACAATTTCTGCCTTTTATTTTACTTTTTTTTTTTTTTTAAGATCAATGAAACTTTTAAGAATTTTTGAAGGTTGGGAATAATAAATTTTGTATTTTAAGTCTTTCTCTTTGGATATATCAAATTACGGGTAACTTAAGTAACATAGCAATGGATATTTGCGATGGGACTCAAAGAGTAAACAGACTTGAAATCTGGAGAAATTCTAGCAATCATTATTCTGGGATACCTACTTTATTTACATACATAACTAGTATTTTTAGAAAAAGAAAATAACTTTTCAGAAGCATGGGGAGATTGGGAGTCAAAGCCGGAGGCCTTAACGTTTTAACTTTTTTCCTTCTTCTTCTTCTTCTTTTTTTCTCAAGTGGTATTGACTTAGCAGGAACAGTTCAAACAAGCCCGCAGTCCAGGAAATAATCATCAGACCAAGTGATCCACTTAGATGGGAAGAAAAAGTAATTTGCTTAGCATCTTCAGGATCGTCTTAAAGAGTTTCAGTAAGAAATAAATTGAGAAGGAATGTTTCAGAAAACAATTCCATGCCCAGACCCAAACCCCAAATCGAAGCTGGGACTTTTCCCAAGTGCGAGCAGAGCGATGGGCCCTGAAAGGCGAACAGCCCGCGGCGCCCCTGAACAAACCGCGCAGGGCGGGCGGGAAGCCCTCGGCCCGCAGACCCTTTCTCTTGGTTTCGGGAAGGTGCTTCGGGCAGCTCCGTTTCCCCCATGGCCTCCCCCACGGGGAGGCTGCGAGCGCGGGGAGGGGACGCGGACAGGAGGACGGGACGGGCGACGGGACGAGCGCGGGCGCGGGCGGGAGAGCCTGTGGCCGGGCGCCGCCGCCGCTGTTGTCCGGGGTGCTGAAAGCCGGGAACTTCCCGGGAAGCCGCGGCCACTTTTCTCTGGGTCGGAGCGGGGGGTGTGGGGTTTCAGGGTGCGCACCTGCTAAGCCCGCCCTGGTCCTCGGCCGGGAGGTGCCGGCAGAGGCCCTCCTAACCCCGTGGGTGGGGGTGGGGGGGGTGCGTGACTCGGGGACGGCGGTGAGTACCGGCCGGAGCGCCGGGCAGGACCCCGGGGCCCCTTCTCCGCCTCTCCAGCAGCCCCGCGCCGCGACCCCGCTCCACCTGCGCGCGAACTCCGGCGGGGGGGGGACGCGGGCGCCCAGGGCTGAGTGCGGCTGGGAGCGGGGCGGGGGAGGAGGGCGCTGGGGGTGGGGGGGGCGGCCCCTGGCCCGGGGATGGAGGGGGGGGGCGGGTGGAGGCGAGAGCGAGCGGGGCATGCGCAGTGGGGCGGAGGAGGTGGCGATGGCCGGGGGAGGCGGGGGGACTGCTGTTTATTTGCAGCTGGGCCAACTCGGCGGCGCAGGCGGCGGCGGAGCGCGGGGCGCCAGCGGCGGGTCCGGCTGCCGCCGCATCATGCCCGAGGCCACCTCCCGGCAGCCGCGGCGCGCCGCCGGGGCCCCGGCCGGGGAGAATGCCAGACGCCCGGGAGCGGCTAGGGCAGCGGCGGTGGCGGCGGCACGATGGTGGTGACAGGCTCTGCCCGAGGCGGCGGCGGCAGCGGAGACCGCGCGCCCTCCCGGCGGCGGGGCTGCGGACTCGCGCCGGCCGGGGCCGCGGCGCTGCTGGCCGGGGCGAGCTGCCTATGCTACGGCCGCTCCCTGCAGGGCGAGTTCGTGCACGACGACGTGTGGGCGATCGTGAACAACCCCGACGTACGGCCCGGCGCCCCGCTTCGCTGGGGCATTTTCACCAACGACTTCTGGGGCAAGGGCATGGCCGAGAACACCAGCCACAAGTCCTACCGGCCGCTCTGCGTCCTCACCTTCAAGTGAGTCCCTTAGCTCGCGCTCGCAGCCGCAGCCGTTTCTCTTCGCCTCTCGTCCGAGCTGGGAGAAGTTGCGGGACCAGCTCGGGGGGGGGGGGTCGTTTCTTTTCTTGGGGCCCCTTCCTCTCCACGCCTCCCTCCTCTGCTGCTGTCCACGCCACTCCGCGCCGCTGTCCCCGGCCCCGCTTCTCTGGGCTCCCGGGGCGGTTCGGGAGGCGCGGGCTGGGAGTTGGGATCGAGTTTCTCTGGAGTCTGCGCTCTCGGCGGGCTGGTCTCTCGGGCTAGGGCTGGGAGCGGGGCTGCTAGAGCTGCTCCCGCACTTGGTCAAGTGCGACCGCGCGAGCCCGGCGAGTTCCGGGCTGGAGGCTGTGGTGGGGATGCTTCCAAGTTGGGAATTTCTCGGAGGTTGTTGGGTAGCCTTGCTGATGGCGAGAGAATCAGTCCCTTTGGGGTTGCGTTCGGAGGAGAGGCGAGAGCCGTGCGAGGGCTGCACGGGTTTTGGGGAGGCGCAGCAGAGGGAGCGGAGGCTCTCCCCCGACCTGCAGTCTTTGGCTGCTCCCGGAGCCTTTCCAGTCCGCAGGTTTGCGGAAGGGCTCGGGATTTAGATAAGATGCAAAGCAAAGGAAGGCAGAGCGTGGGAACCTCTGGAGATCCTGGTGTCCCAGTCGAAATAGTTTTTGTTTTACAACCTCAGAGTCATGATTCAGCATTTCTGGTATGAATAAAGTGTAAAGGAACCGAGAGAACGCCAGGGTTTTGTAGGGTGGAGTATTTTCTTGAATTTAAAAGAGGGCTTGCTTCAGAAGGAAGAGGAGGAGGGCTTTGTATGAGTGTTACCTGGTACACTGTGAGCTTGACTCAACCCTTTTTAATTTGGCTCAGCCTTTAAGCTTATAATGTGCCGGACAAAAACTTGAAATATTGGTTCAGTATCATCAGTGTTTTAAGCCTTTTCCAGTGGGTGTAATATGAACCTGTCTTTATGATAGTAGTTATTCGAGACGGGATATGCAGCTTGAAAAGCTTGCCTGGGGCCAGGAGGCCAAGGTTTCTTGACAGGTGGTTGTGATGACTTAGAAAAGGAAATCATAGCAGTTGTCAGTAATTCATGGGCTTTTGACTTAATTCTTGCATTGAAAATTCAGTGTTTTAAAAGAGAGTGAGGAAATTGCACATTTGACTCTGAAGAGAGTATTTTGTAAACATTAGTCCTCTTGGAAAGTGGTTTTGCTTTTTGGCTGAAAGATAACCACAGCTACTGAGTGAGTTGCTCAGTACTCTCAGTTTTCCAAATGTTTCTTAAAATCTTAGATGACACAAATATATATGTTTATCTTCTAGATCGGCCTGCCTTTTCATTTATTACAGTGAGGGCTGATGGTTCATTTAAGGTGTGGAAGCTCACAGCATGAGATGTGCTGGGATTGTAACAGCCATGGAGACTGTCTTGATCTGAACATTTTACATTTTAAAAGGTTAGGGCCAAATGCCAGTGCCCACTTGGTGGAGGATGGGAAGGATGTTTTCACTTTTTGACTTTCTAAAGTGTTTTTCATGCATGCAGGAGATGGCAGGGACAGAAAAGAGGAGTGGGGAGGGAAGTAGACAATGAGGAAAGGCCATTGATGAAGAATGTTAGCAAGGGTTTTGGGGAAACGGGTAAGGAAGGAGAGTTGCAGGGCGGGGCCAACTCCTCACTGTGTTCTCATTGGTTACAAAATGCAGATTTGCGTCTAAGACCATTGCTCTTTGTAGAATCTCATTTTACTGGCTGTGTAAGATATACCTTTTTTTTTTTTCTGGAGAAGATTGAGTTGCAGATCTAGAGAGCAGCACAGCACTAATCAGAAAGGGGTAGATGTTTCTTTAGAAAGAGAAAGTTAGCTCGTCTTTCCATGTTCACAGGTGTGAATTAAAATAAGACCTGGGGGCGCCTGGGTGGCTCAGTGGGTTAAGCCGCTGCCTTCGGCTCAGGTCGTGATCTCAGGGTCCTGGGATCGAGTCCAGCATCGGGCTCTCTGCTTAGCATAAGGAGAAGCCTGGAGGGTGGGGGGTACTGTTGATGGCTCTAGACTCATACAACTCTAAAGGTTGTTGCAAGGAAGGACAGAAAATCAAATTTATTAACTATTCAGTGTGAAACAAGCATTGGCCTGAAACTCTTTACATAGATTAAGTCTTTATGATTTTTGTTTTAGATAGTTGATAAAAATAAAGTGGCCCTTTAAATATATATACACACTGTTTTAATTATATCTTAAACTAGGTTTTCTTTTTTTAATAAAAATCTTTGAGAATTTGAGATCATTTTTATTTATTTTTTTTTCTGGTAAGAACACTTAACATGAAATTGCCATTTAGAATTCTTAGGAGCACAATAAAATATCATTAACTGTAGAGGCCATGTGGTAGAGCAGATCTCTGGTGCTTACTCCTTTTCCATAACTGGAACTGTATACCTGCTGAACAGCAGCTTTCTCCGGGCTCCACCCCCCCCCGCCCCCCCCTTGGCAGCCATCATTCTACTCTCCATATGAATTTGACTATTTTAAATATGTTATGTAAGTACAGTCATGCAGTATTTGCCCTGTTATTGGCTTATTTCACTTAATATAATGTCCTCCCCGGCCAGCCATGTTGTTGTATGTGACAGGATTTCCTTTGTTAAGGCTGAATAGTATTTCATTGTATGTATAGACCAGTTATTTTAAAATTTTTTAAAAGATCTTATTTATTAGAGAGAGAGAGTGAGAGCGAGCACACAAGCAGGAGAAGGGGCAAAGGGAGAAGTGGGTTTCCTCCTGAGCAAGGAGCCTGACACGGGGCTCTAACCCGGGACCCTGGGATCATGACCCTGAGCCAAAGGCAGACACTTAACTGACTGAGCCACCCAGGCACCCCCCCACTTTTTTTTTTTTTTTAATCTATTCATCTGATCACGGACAGTTAGGTTGTGTCCATGTAGTTATTGTGAGTATTGCTGCAGTGAACTTGGCAGTGCATATATCTCTTCAAGATCCAGATTTCAATTCTTTTGGATTTTTAACCAGAAATAGGATTGCTGGATTATTAGCTGGTTGTATTTTTAACTTTTTGAGAAATCTCTATACTGTTCTCCATAGGAGCGGCACCTTTTAAGTTCCCACCAGTAGTGTACAGTGGTTCTAGTTTTCTACATCCTTGCCAACACTTATCTTTTTTTTAATAAAAGCCAGCCTAATGGGTGTGACAGAGGTGATAACTCATTATGATTTTGATTTTGATTTGCATTTTCCTGAGGATTAGTGATGTTAAGTATCTCTTCATGTACGTACTGTTGGCCATTTGTATGTCTTTTTTTTTTTTAAACTATAATTGACATATGATACCCTATTAGTTTCAGATGTATACCATAGTGACTTGATGTCTTTATATATTATAAAATGGTCCCCACTATAGGTCTGGTTACCATCTGTCACTATACAAATTTATTACAATATGATTGACTGTGTTCCCTAGGCTGTACATTACATCTCCATGACTTACTTATTTTATAACTGGAAGTTTGTATTTCTTAATGCCCTTCACCTATTTTGCCACCGCCCCCCCCCCCCATCCCCTCTGGTAACCAGTTATTTGTTTCCTGTATCTGAGTCTGTTTCTGTTTTGTTCTGTTTGGTTGTTTTGTTTTCTAATTCCACATATAAATGAAGTTATGTGGTATTCGTTATTCTCTGACTTATTTCACTTAGCATAATACCCTCCATGTTGTCACACATGGCAAGCTCTCATTCTTTTTTAATGGCTGAGTCTTTATTGGAGAAATATCTGTTCAGGCCCTTTGCCCATTTTTTCATCCTTTTTTTTTTTTTTTTTTTTTTTTTTTACCTTGAGTTGGAGTTTCTTACGTATTTAACATATCAGATACATGCCTTGGCTATTCCATTGGTTGCCTTTTAACCCTGTTGGTTACTTCCTTTGCCGTACAGTGGTTTTTTAGTTTGATGTAGTCTCAGTTACCTAATTTTTTTTAATTGTTTGTACTTTTGGTGTCATATTTTAAAAAATCATTGCTAAGTCTAAATCATGAAGTTTTCCCCATTTTTTTTTAAAAGATTTTATTTATTTGACAGGGGGAGAGCGAGAATGAGAGAGAGAGAGAGAGAGTGAGGAGAGCGAGAGAGTGCACAAGCTATGGGGGGTGCAGCAGGCCGAGGGCGAGGGAGAAGCAGGCTCTGCACTGAGCAAGGAGCGTGATGTGGGGCTCTATCCTGGGACCCTGGGATCATGACCCCTGTTTTTCTTCTGGAAGTTTTACAGTTTCAGGTCTATTTAGGTTGTCAGTACATTTTAAGTTGATTTTTGTGTACAGTGTAAGGTAAGCGTCCAGGTTTATTCTTTTGCAGGTGTATACCATTTTTCCCAACACTGTTGAAGAGACTATCTTTTCCCTGCTGTGTATACTCGGCCTTTATGTTGAAGATCATTTGACCATATATGTGTAGGTTACTTTCTGGCCTCTCTGTTCTTTTCCATTGGTAAGTGTGTTTGTTTTTATTCCACTACCATACTGTTTTAATTATTGTAGCTTTGTAATATGGTTTGAAATCAGGAAGTGTGATGCTTCCAGCTTTGTTCTTTCTCAAAATTGCTTTATATATTCAGGATTTTTTGTAGTTCCAAATGAATTTTATGATTTTTTTTTTTATTTCAGTAAAAAAAAAAATCTATTGGTATATTAATATAGAATACATTGACTATAATTGGCTTTGAGTATTATGGACTTTTTTTTTTTTTTTTAAGATTTTATTTATTTATTTGTCAGAGAGAGAGAGAGGGAGAGAGAGCCAGCACAGGCAGACAGAATGGCAGGCAGAGGCAGAGGGAGAAGCAGGCTCCCTGATGAGCAAGGAGCCCGATGTGGGACTCGATCCCAGGACGCTGGGATCATGACCTGAGCCGAAGGCAGCTGCTTAACCAACTGAGCCACCCAGGCGTCCCTATTATGGACATTTTAACAATAG